ATTAATTTTTAAACAATCAATAAATTATATAGAGTGAATTTTCATTTCAGTTTTTCGTTTAATACATTCAAAATTTCCTACACACTTTTAAATTCATTAAAAGTTAATTTAAAGAAAAATTATTCAAAGAAAACCATAAAGAAAATTAGCTAAATGAGAGCCTCCCCGTAGATTCAACATTTTTTTGCCAAGGTATAAAAAAATAATATAAAAAGAATGTAAACAATTCGTATGAACTATGAATAAAATAAAATAAAATTAATAAAACTTGTTTTATGTTGAGTTAAATAATAATTTTATATACAATTAATGTTTTAGATCAAGTTTTTTTCTGAAAATCCAAAAAAGCTGAATTTAGTTTTTGATAACAATGAAAACCACTAAATTAATATTTTATGCTAATTGTAAAGTTTCAACATAATGGAAAGATAAAAAAAAAAAAAAAACAGAAAATCCACAACTGAATAAATTGACAATATGTCTGTATTTTCAAATTTTTTTATTTTATGTAATTTTTTTTTTTGATCAACATAAAGAATGAAGAAACTTTGTGATGTATTCCTTTAAATCCTTCATCCTTCAAATCCTTCAATCTAAATTATTTTAATAAAATATAACTTTACAGTTTAGTTTGGTAACTAAAGGTTTTTCGTTTTCATCAATATTTAATAATTATTTTAGCACAAGTCTTAAACTTTGATATACAAAAAAGTTTTTTTCTATAAACATGGTTGTCTTCATTACAAATAGGAAACCTAGTGATTAAGATAATTTTTATATTCTCTACCTATAAATTACTTACTACTTAAAAAGTTATTTTTAGTATTATGATTGTGGTGTTATAATAATTTGCATTATTGAATGTTGAAATGTAAAAAAATTTACTTTCTTATCTTTTTTATGTTTTACATATTCAAGTATTATAAAATAGAAAAAAAAGCATATTAATTTTTATTGAATTTTTTGTTAAACAGCCACTGCCAATTTTAGTTTTTTAAATTTTAAAACTTTTACTCTTAAGTATCTTTAATGAATATTTGATAATCAAATAAGTCATGAAATTTTGTAACTTCTATATTCAATAGTTTCTTTGTCTTCTATGTCAATAGTTTCTTTTATTTGATATTCATATATTCTATTTTAAAAAAATTAAGTTGTTTTTAGAATCAGGAAATTCATCAATTGTCAAGGAGAACTTCAAAGAAAATGAAGATAGGTACAATGAGTATAAAAAACTTGGTTTAGAGGAATACATCACTCCAGAAGAAGTAAAAAAGCATCTAATAGAATTATGGAACACAGAGTATAGTGTTTTGAATGCATTATTTGGTTCATTTAATTCTCCTTCATGCCAGAGTCGACAAACATCTCCTGAGATGTTCTTTTTAGATGTAATTGCTGTTCCTCCTTCAAAATTTAGACCAGTAAGCTTCATTATAAACTTCTTTTAATAGTGCAAAAAATTGAACAAAACAAAGTTCACAAAATTTATTAAGAGAATAATGATAAATAGCAAAGTTTTAGACCTTTTAATAGTTACATGTGTAAATTATGAACAAAAAAAAAATTGTTTTACTTGTAAATTAGTTTTTTAAATGCAAAACATATACATTCAATCATTTTGGCAATCAGCTTGAACTGAATTTTTTCTCATATAAGAGTGGATAAAAGTTGCTATGCAACTGTTGCTTTAATTATTTTATTTATAAGTAAAAAATTGTTTTATTTAAAAAATGAAACTTATAAAGTAAATGATTTAAAACAAAAAAATATAAAATATGAAGAAGATAATCCATTTAACACCTGTTTATAGTTTAACAAAAAAATATAAAATATGAAAAACACCTGTTTATTGATGTGTGCTTTGCCTTTTACTAATCTTTTTACTTCTTACTAATATATAGATTTAAGTCAGAAGTTGGAAAAAAGGCATAACAAAATTTTGCCTAATTTTTTTATGTTGAATGGTTTTAATATTGAGCTAATCATATTTAACTATTTTATAGCAAACATTTAAGTAATAATATATTTTCACTTGCAACTGTATGAAATTAAAAAAATTGAAAATAAATTAAACAACAAGTATTTGGTTCTTTGCACTTTGGTTTTATCTGTATTAAAAACTTTTTTATGTATGTTAATATATACTTTATAACAATATTTGTTTCGATCAACAATGAAAAGTAAAATACAAATAAAAATTAAAAAATTATTTATTTTTTTAAATGACAATTAGTAGATTTGACTATTGTAACCGACTATAGTGACCATAGTAGACCAACTAGTTTTTTAGACAATTTTTTTACTCCAATATTTAATGTTTCCAACTTATTTTAAGATTTTTATTTCAGTAATTTTGTTCTACCTAAATTTCAGAAAATAATAGCTGAAAAGGAATTGTGCCTAAAGTAATGAATTATTAAAGTTTATCCTGAATTTTAATATTGTTTTAGGAATTGTATTCAAGTAGGATTCACTATGAAAAATAAAGTAGAAATATGACAAGATCTGAATGTAGCATTCGCTAGACTAGACATTCAAATGTGGTACAAAATCCATGCAGAACTGTACACCATTTTTTAATTATGCAAAAATCCAATATCTATTCAGTCTGCCTGAGTGTATGCAGACTTAATAAATCTAATGTATACAGAAGGGATGGTTATCTTTGGATTACTTTTTATCCTCATATAAAGTTATCCAAAGCATTTGAAATGTCTTCCAGAAGCATGTCTTCCTTTACACAGATATTTCATGTCTTCCTTTACACAGATTAAATTACTCTTGAAATGATCTTGGTAGCTCAGCAGTCAAAGACATGTTTTAAGTAGTATTGCTTCTGTTTGTATCAAAGTTGATTCAACTAGTTTAGATAATGTCAAGTTTAAGTTTGCAGATCAATTGTAAAGTTTGTCTTATTTCTTGTTATTTCTTTGTAATATTTAAAGCAGTGACCTCAAACTTGATTTTGAACAGTCTGTATGATTTCTGTTTCAATTATTATATTTATTGTTTTGTATAGTATGGTCCTATTTTTCTTTTTTTATTCAGAGTTGTCAATTTTAAAATGATCTTCAATTTTCAAATGATCTTCATAATTCAAACACCTGGTTGATCAACCAGTTTGGTTACATGATCTTTCATTGCTCAACAAAGACCATACTGGTACTGGAAACTAGACCATACTGGTACTGGAAACTAGACCTAAACTAGTACTAAAAAAAATTAGTGTTTTTAAATCTGTAAATTATTAGGTGAGATTTGATGATCTGAAAAACATGACTAAAAAAAGAAAATGACCTTTTAAAAATGCAAGCTTTTATCTAGTTTTTAAATATTTAAGATCTGTAACTGTTTAAAGTTAGAAAATAATTTGATAGTTGTCATATTTGAGGTTTGAATCTTATATGCAGTAACAAATGCAGAGAGCATCAAGTTACACCTACACTTGAAAGTGTAGAAGAGAAAAGCAAGTATCTAAATGACTTATTTATTTTTTTTACCTTGAACTCCATTTTGTTAAAAAAATTTTCAGTAGCAGGCCTTGAACTTATAAAGTAGACTATTAATTTTAATAAACATTCAAAAATTTTAAGCTAAAAAAATATTCTTGTTTAGAACAAATAACAGTAAAACTTTGATTTTTTCTATTTATTTTTTTACACAAAATCTTTTAAAAAAAGTAAGAAATTATATATAATAATTTACTTATTTATACAACAGATATGTATCTAAGGACACGATTTCCTAATATATTTTGTGTGGTTTAATTCTTAAAATATCTTATAACCCTAACCCTGAATGTAGTGGTACTCCTTACACGTTCTATGTAGATAGTCAGTTTATGTGTGTGCTGAAGTCCTTCCAGCTCCCTCTTTTAATGATAGGTCATCTTTGTGTATCTAATGCTGCATCATGTATTGCATCGTGTATTGCATCGTGTATTGCCTGATAAAAAAAAGCTGTTAAATTGCAATGGAAAGATTAATTGTTCTTTTTATATATATTATTACAAAAAGTTGTTTGAGATTTTTAGAAAACTTAATTTCCTAAACGAAAAAAAAGTAAGAATTTAAAAAATTGATTGACTGTTATTTATTTTAATTAAGTTATTTACGAGATTTTATTATTTTTGCTATTATTTTAAAATAACTTGCATAAAGTTTATCCTTTTTTAATTTTATTTGGAAAAAAATATTTAGATAATGTTTAAGTATTGTATAAACATTTTTAATTCAAAGATTTTAGAGCACATAGAAGGCCCACATCTAAATTACGTTAAGACATATGGTTGATTGCACATTATAAATTTAATTATGCATTGAAGTAGGTGCGTGTTGGTGTTTGTGATTACAAGGCATTCTTTACTGTGCCTGTCTGTTAAGAATAAAACCTGCTGAATACTGGTAAACAATTTTTGTTTTATTGAAGCATCATAGCCTAATAAATCTTGACCACCACACTTTATTAGAAAACTATAAAGTTCTAAGTAATGCTTCTCAGTCAGGTGATTAGTTATAAAAATTTTTTAATTTTTCAATCAACCAATTTTGATTCTCAGAGAGCATTGCTACGACAAGTTAAGATCGGAAAACACTTTTTGATGGTCTTAAGTAAATTTTTACTGCTCGTATCCTAGATTGTTTTATGATCCTAGATAAAATGCTTTTCTATAAGTTCTTATATATTATATTGTTTATTACTTAAGTAATAAATGCAATGTTCAATTTTCTCTCAATCAGAACTCATAATAGATGACTTTCATTAGGCTATGATTTCTTGTACCTAGGGCCATATAGCTTGTTTGTATCTAGAGTCACATGTGCATAAAGAATTTGCTATAATATAGATGCGTAAAGTATTTGCTACATATTCGCATAATTATTCACACATATGTCGTATTATTCACACATATGTAGCATTATTCGCACATATGTAGCATATATACATATTCTCATATATGTGCGTAAAGAATTTGCTATAATAACAAGGTAGATTGTTGAATTTTGGTTGGTGCTGAATTTTTTTCTTGCGGTTGTTTTAGGACTACCACATTTTGACTTATTTGTCAATTTTGCTCAGAACTATTAGTCGATTTTATTATTTATATAAGTGCTGCAATTAAGTAACAGTACATAAATTTGTTAAAAACAATCTAAGATGAAATAATTTTTTAATCAAATTTATGTGTCTATCTTTGTTGTCAATTTATTATGGAGTTAAACCTAATTTTCAGACAGTGGCCCTGGTACTATAGCTAGTGGCCCTAGGTACAATTAAAAAACAGCTTATTGTACCTAGGGCCACTAATTTTTAAACCCTTCTACATGATGGATTTTTATAGTTAAAGCCAATATGCTTATATTAATACAAAGTAATTAGTATAGAGATGTGATCGTATCAGTTTCACAATTTTTAGACAAGTCTAAAGCCTTGAATTTGGTCATTAAAAAAATCCGGCCCTAAGTACACGAACTTGCCCTACACTCCTTGCATGTTTTTCCTATTCAAATCAGTCAATGTATGTATAAAAAACAACAACAAAAAGATAGAATGAAAAATAATTAAGAAACAAAGAAATAAAACAAAAAAATTTAGAAAGGCAAAATATAGACAGGCAACTAAATGTAATATTTACAAATATATTTTTTTCTTTTGACATTGTTTTTATATTAACAGATGTCCTATAGAGATGAAAAAAAGTTTGAAAATCCTGAAACAGAAAATATGTGCAAGATACTCTGGAACTGCAAGTTTATACATGAACTTTTAAACCGTTTGAAGTTACCAACAGATGATAAACCATATGTGCCAGTTGCTTTTGTTTCTACAAGTGTCTCCCAGGTTATTTTTTATGATTAATTTTTTAAATTTTTATTTTGCTTTTAAGATATTTTTATTTTTGGCTGAAAATTTCCAAAACATAGGAGCAATTAAATAATAATAACTTAGCAATATCAACAGAGTAATATGTTTTTATATTATATGATATTGATAGTAATTATATAATGCTGGTAGTAGTTATATGATATTGATAGTAATTATATAATACTAGCAGTAGTTATTATATGATATTGATATTAATGATATTATTTAATTTAGTTGTTGAAAGTGAAACATTAAATGTAAACTCGATAATTTTTATTTTTTAAAAGAAGAAAAAATTTGTTTTTATTATAAGCTATATAAAGTATAAAATGAATTCTAAAATAAATGTGCTTTTTATTTTTCAGAAAAAAAATTACTTAGTTTTTATTATGTAAAATATATAAAGGTTTTTTTTATTATGATTTTTTAAATTATTATTATAGTTATTGTTTATTACAACTTTTTTAATGTATAAAAACTCAAAAAAATATACATTAGTTTATAACAAGTCATAAGTAAAGCTCTTTATGATCTAGTTTTTGTTTTATAATTTTTTGTTTTTATGCTTTATGCTTTTTGTTTTTGTTTTATGTTTTTATAGCTGGACTTACTTAACTTTAAAAATCATTAGTAAGTGATTTTTTTTTAGTCAAAGCGAAAGGTCATACCTGGTAGTTCTCACAAGGAACAGCTTCAAAATGCTTGGGAAGAACTGCAAAGCTCTGTTAATACTCTAATGGATAACACATTAAACAAATTGGACAATAAAAACATACCTGGTATTCGTCAGGTATTAATATATTTTCTTTTTTTTTTGCATTAATTTTTTTCAATTCCAATTCAAACATCTTTTTATAAAAATATCCTGCTTCAATCCCTTCATAAATCATTGAATCAACAATTGTACATCCAATTTAAAAATTCAATAATCATACACCCAATTTAAAAATTCAATAATCATACACCCAATTTAAAAATTCAATAATCATACACCCAATTTAAAAATTCAATAATCATACACCCAATTTAAAAATTCAATAATCATACACCTAATTTAAAAATTCAATAATCATACACTCAATTTAAAAATTCAATAATCATACACCCAATTTAAAAATTCAATAATAATACAATCAATTTAAAAATTCAATAATCATACACCCAGTTTAAAAATTCATTAATCATACGCCCAATATAAAAACTCAATAATCATACACCCAAAAATTAAAGTTAGCAATAAAGTTTTCTTTTTTTTAAAAAAAAAAGAAAGCTTTTGAACTTTTAAAAAATTTTTTCAATTTTTTTTATAAATTTTGATGATTATTTTTGCTATATTTTTTTGTTTCACTCAAAACTTTGACTTTATTTACTTTATTCTAATCAGCTTATTGACTTTAAATTTAAAATGTTGTCATATTTTTGTAATAGTAAAAAAGTTATTCATTTATACATATATAAACTCATCACAATGTTGTATTCAATAGGTTAAGCTATAAATACATAACTTTAATCAATAAAATGACTGTAAAATGAGACCCTTTTGATAGCTTAATTGATTTAATATTTTGTTATACAATAGTTATCAACGTTAAGAACAAAAACTCATTAAAATATTGAATTTGTAAGAGTTTTAGTTATACTGAAAAAACTTTTTAGTTATACTGAAAGTTTTAAGTTTTCTAATTACTCTGCACATTTTTTAACTTTGTTCTCAGCATCTTTTTTAACTTCTTACTCTTTACCTTCGTCAACTCTTTTAGTTACTCAACAACAAATTGTTGGTACATGTCATCACAGGCAGCAATCAAGATGTTTTTTTTTGCTTTTATTTATATTTGTTATTTTTTATTCATTATTTTTTTGTTTAAAGATTATACTTTTTTAACCATTTTACAAAATTAAATGTTAAGTTATTATTTATGTATATTATTTAAGTTTTAATAGTTTTACATTTAATAAATTTTTTTGTTTTGTTTTGTTTTGTAATAAAAATGTTACTGTATTAATACAGCTAATGTCATTTACACACTGAAACACCTATTTGCAAAAATAAGTTACTTTATTTATTGGTCTTTTTGTTGGTGCTTGTCAAGTTTGTTTTTAAACTGATTTAAGCTATGAGAATTTACTACTTTCACCTGTGATTCATTCCATGCGGTTGCTGGTCGACTAAGTAGATAATTTTGTCTAGAAGCACTTTTAGTAAATTCAGCTCAGTATCTAATGTTGTATCCACGTGTCTGAATCTGATTTTTTTGTATGTTTATTTGCTCTAAGAAACCATATCCATGTAAAGTTAGATTTACACTATCTATTTTATTAATGATTTAAAAAAATGTATTAAGTCACCTTTTAAATGCTAAGTTGAAATTTTTTTTATATTTAAAAACTTATGAGTCTTTTTTCATGTCATGTTTTTAAGAGAAGGAATTAGCATAGTTAGAGCTTTGTTGCTTGTCTCTGTACTCATTCCAATATAGATGTTTCTCCTTTAAGTTAAGGAGACCATACAGCGATACTGTATTCAAGATGTTAGCGGGCAAGTTTAGTATAAAGAACTTTATACATCTGTTTATCTATATAACTAAAAGTTTATCATACCAAGTGCTCAATTTTCCTTTAGACAAATTTGTGAGAGCAAATTTTGTGTTATTAACATATAAAATTGGCCAAGAAATTAATACCTAGATCTTTTTCACATATAGGCTTTTCTAAAGTTATTATATTGTTATATTTAGAATCGGGTATTAAGTAATTGTGCTTTGGATCGTTTTTGCCAATATGCATAACATGACACTTTTTACAATTAAACTTGATAACCCATTTTTTTTTTGACTATTTGAATGCCTTGATAAGTTCATCTTGAAGAGCTGGTATAAAGTTGTAAATTTGATTGATGATTTTAGTAACATCAACAGATAATATTTTTATCATTAAAAATTTGTTGTGAGTTTTTTCACTTCCTTTTAAATTATATTCTTACTATACATTTGAATTTATATTATTTGAATTTACTTGGCCAAATTTTGAAAAAAAATTTGCTTTAAATAAAGGAAGTTTGAAAAATAACCAATCTTTTAAAAGTAGTGGCACTTACCATAAAGTAGAAGAAACAGTTACACTTTTAAGCATATATTTCAATGACAATATTGATATTCATACTATATAAAAATAATGACAATATTTACAGTCTTTATAAGATTATTTACAGTCTAAATAAGATTATTTACAGTCTTTATAAGATTATTTACAGTCTACATAAGATTATTTACAGTATACATAAGATTATTTACAGTATACATAAGATTATTTACAGTATACATAAGATTATTTACAGTATACATAAGAATGACCATTTTATTTTATATAAAAATCAAAATATTCAATAGTTATTTGCTTAATACTAAAAAAAAATACAATAATGATATCAAAAGTAAGTGAAAATAAAATAAATACAGTTGGTAGCCTCCTTATCCAATTTTTACCATCAAATTCCACTGTGTACAGGAAGTGGCATTTGATGGTAAAAATTGTAAACCATTATCATCTAGTACTGAAACCTCTGGTTTCATCTGTCATCGTTTTGGCTTGAAATAAAGATTAAAACTTGAGGAAATTAACCTTTCTATCCAACTGTGTAACTATCCGTTTGATTTAAATTTACTATCGTAGATTGTTATAAGATAAAAAGATGGCTTTGAAATCGATATTAGATTTACATGGTTTTTTGAAATATGTGAGTTTGAAATAAAAGACTTTTCTTCTAAGGGGGGGGGGGGTACTTTTGAATCTTAAAGAAAAATTTGTTTGACCTATTAAATGATCTTTCAAATTATAGAAGTTTAAGATACATAAGTTTAACTGTACTTTAGTACAATAAAACTACACACACACACACACACACACACACACACACACACACACACACACACACACACACACACACACACACACAAATATATGATTTTTTCCTATTCTTACTCAAACACATATACTATTTTTTAGTTACTTGAGAAAAAAGAAGGCTTATTTAGAAAGAATATGATGGGGAAGCGAGTAAATTTTGCTTGTCGATCAGTTATATCACCTGACCCATTCATCAACATGGATGAAGTTGGCATACCTTTGGTACAATTTTTTTTCTATTAAATATATTTTTAAAATTTTTAAAATAATATTTATTTTATTTTTGCAATGCACTTATTTTTCAGGTATTTGCCAAAAAATTGACTTATGTCCAACCAGTAACTACATGGAATCTTTCAAAATTAAAACAAATGGTTATTAATGGGCCAAACAAATGGCCGGGGTATTGTTTTAATTTAACATGTGTTATTTGTTGTTTTTTTTTGCCTTTTTGGAGTAAATTTTGAATGATTATTCATTAAAATGTTTTTATTAATTTTTGTAGAGCAACCATGGTTGAATACGAAGATGGGCGTAAAACTATACTATCAGATGATGAATATGAACGGAGAGCTGTTGCAAAACAGCTTTTAAGTTCATCTCATGAAAACAATTTAAAAATTGGACGCACTAAAAATTATCAAAGTAAAAAGGTAAATAAGTAGAAAATACTTTCTTATGTTTATTTTTCTTATGCTTTCAATAAGATATTAAAATAAATTCTTGTAAAAATTTATAACAGTAGTTATTAATTTGCCATGACTCTTAACTCTCCCTCCCTCCCTTGATAGTTCTGATTGCTAAAATTTATGCTATAGTTTAATAATCCACCAAAACTGGTAATAAAATCAAACTGGTATTAAATTTATAAGTTTTATTTTGTTGAGAGTTTATTGCAGAAAAGTTGCTATAAGAAAAGTCTAATAGATAGAGCTAACTTATATGATATACCTAGCTCCATGTGACCTGTTTTACTGGGTTCTCCTTAGCTTTGTAAATAAATACAGTCTTAATGAAAGGTTAAGATTTTACTAAACCCTTAAATTTTTAAAAATGCCTGCAGAATTATCACACTATTGCTATCTTTGTTAGAGATACTTATGTTAAGTGTTTACGTAATCAATTTAGTAAATCTGTGCATCTAAAGCAGTAAAGAGACAATTTTCTTTCTAAAGTAGGAACATGTTAAATTCATACCTTTGAAATAAATAAGAGTTCTAATAAGTTCTAAGTATGTGAAAAAAGTGTACATACTAATTTTGTTTTGTTCTAAAAGCAATATTTGATTGAGTTATTTTTCTATTGATTAATAAAAAAATATTGAAGTAAATAATAAGTATAGAAGTAGAGGTCGTTAGAGGATAGATAAATAGTTGAAATAAGAAATAAAAAATAGAGGATAGATGAATACCTGAATAAATATAGAAATAGAGGCCAGTGTGGAATAAACTCACCTAGAACTGTATTTTAGTGGTCCAGACAGCTAGTTTATAATATTTAGAGTTTTGTCAGAAATTTGTGTTGAATGCTTAACGTGAGTAAATCATAAAGGTATTCTTTATAGATGAAAGGAGAGAATTCTTCAATATTAAACTAGATGCAGTTGTGTTTGTCATTAATGTTGCTAAATTATTTTACTATGTCATTCATATTATGCCCTTGGTTTATAAGGGTAGCATTTTGAATTTTTTTTTTTGTTATTTATAGTTTTACATTTAAATGTATATTATTTATTTATAAGACATCAAGTTCATATTTTCTGCTTCTTTTGTTATTTCTACTTTAATTTGAGATGGTAATGAAATCTTTTGTATTTCCTGTACGAAAATTTCCCATGGGAATTTTGGAAAAAAAACCATGGGTATTTGGAACACGTTCCCATAGAAAAACCATGAGTTTTCCATGGAAAAACCATGAGTTTTCCATGGAAAAACCATGAGTTTTCCATGGAAAAACCATGAGTTTTCCATGGAAAAACCATGAGTTTTCCATGGAAAAACCATGAGTTTTCCATGGAAAAACCATGAGTTTTCCATGGAAAAACCATGAGTTTTCCATGGAAAAAACCATGAGTTTTCCATGGAAAAACCATGAGTTTTCCATGGAAAAAACAATAAGTTTTCCATGAAAACGTGTTCCAAATACCCATGGTTTTTCTATGGGTTTTTTTTATAGATTTTCGATTCAAAACTCTTGGTTTTTCCATTAAAACGTGTTACAAAAAAAAAAAAAAAAAAAAAAAAAAAAAAATCAAAATTCCATGGTTTTCATGGTAAAACAGTATATTTTGCTTTCAGATCATTTGAAATCTAATGTAATGTTAATTGCCTTATATACCATAAAACGCAAATTTTATCACGCAACTTTTTAATATTATTGAGTTCTCTTAATCAATGGGATCGCCTCTGCAGAATAAAATCAATAAACAAAGTAAAATTTAAATCTTCTTGAAAAACATTAATGAAAAAGTTTATTACAAAAAAGTATCCTCTAGTTCATTTTCGTCCACAATATTGCCTTTCATTTGACGCCTTTTGATTTTCCCTACATCTTGCAGCTTTTCAGCCATTGACTGCTTTATCATCCTGTTATTGGCTCCAGGAAATTGTTTATGAACTTACGCTACAAAACAAAGCAGGAAATACAAAACTTGTAATACATGAAGTAACGCATTGAACAATTACATAAAAATATAACGTTTAGTAAAGCCAATTAAAAAAATGATGCACAAGTAATTTTTACAAATTTCCTAATTTGAAATATATAAATAACTAATAACTAAAATTCTCCTATTATAAGGTTAAATTTTCAATAAATATAATTCATGCTCAAACACTAATTTGTTTATTTATATAAGTCTAATATTTTATCTGAATATATAGGGTCCCAGGTATCTAGAGCGAAATGAGTGCAGTGCCTAGAGCTGCCCAGAAATTTTCGAGATATTTGAGAAAACTAAAATTATGAATAGTTGGTTTTGTTGGTTTCTCAACTTTTCAACACATAATGTAGGGCCCAAAACTAACCACGAGGTGCGGGTTGTTAGAGCAATAACAGTCTGGCACAGCACTGTGCAAAATAATATACATTACTGAATGCAAGTAAATATCAGTATTATTTATACTATTGATATCTATAAAAGATTTAATAATTAAAGAAAACGATTATAGAGAAAATGGTAGATTATAAAAAACACAATAATAATGAAAACAAAAAATTATAATTGTTATAACAAACATAGTTATAAATTCAACAAACCTTAAACTTTTAAATAATAATAAAGAAAGCTAGAATAAAATACATGATGCATAATAAAAAGATAATTAACATTCAAATAAATAAAACAACAGATTTATACAATCGGATTAAGCCAAATGCAAAAAACTAATAAGTCAATTTCCCATTGATTGGGCAGAGAGCACACATACAATGTTACAAAAGAAAATACATTTAAAGGTAAAAATAAACACTTTTGCTGAATTACATTAGCAAGCATGGCAACCAAAGTATTACTATTAGAACCAGTAGTTGTCATAATATGTCTAGATATAGCATTATGAGATAGAAAAGCACATCTCCCTGTAGTGAGTTTAATCAATAATACTTAACACTCATTGTTAACAATAACAAATGAGCTAATAAGACACAGTATATTATCTCTTACAACCACATTTTGGAGGTCACCATTACTGTTACTAATTGCAATACTTGGATTTAAATACCACGAACATCCATATTTTCCATTAAATTGTTTAATATTTTGCATAACACACCTTGCAGAAGAATCACAAGAACATACTAAACATTAAACCTTGTTTACTACATTTTTGTTCTGAGCCTTATTAAACCACAAAAAACCTGTACTTACTAATTTTGAACATTCCTCTACAAACACCTTTAAAAACTTATTTATTTTAGGCTTAGCACCAAACCATAAACCAGTTAACAACACATGCTTCCTTTGAATGTTAAAAGGCAACTCATTAATTACACATTGCAAAGGCCAAATACTTTTTATAGATGACCTGAAAGCACTTGCTCCATCACAATTCCATGTTAATTACATAATTATTGTCTGTTGCATCTCTGGAATAAATTTATATGAAGATCCATCATAAATGTCCTCAAAGTTGTCTGCATTATTTTTAACACAATCAAAACAATACTGAATAAGATCAAATAAAATACTATTTTCTAACATTTCACGTAACTGATGTTCAAGTGGCAGCACAAGAAAAAAATCTCTGTTCAAATTACTTTGTACATCAACTTCACAAACTGGACAAACATCAAAATCACTTATAGTGGTACCCAAATATGTACATTTAGAGCATTTATTACAATAGAAATGTTGTTCTAATTTGCCTTGGCAAACACTAAATATTTTATTAAACAAATACCTAGTTTTTGGTAACAATAAATTAGGTATAAAAAAATGCAATAAGCTAAGTAAATCATCCAAAGCAAGTTTCATCAGGCTATGCCGCAAAACAAAGGCCATTATAAGTGCGATTGCACTGCCAACTGTAATTGCAGAATCAAGTAGAATTTTTTCTTTATACAAAGGATCATTAAATAAGTTATCGTTGACATTATATTCATTACTGTTTTCATTAAAATTAACATCATTGTCTGCTTCACCAATCTAGATAAAGTTAATATACACATACTAATCAACTTTCTTTATATACTAATTTATTTATACTTATATTTATTAACTGTTATAACACTTTAAAATTAGGCATCCACACAACTTTTTGAACGTTCTATATAAATGTTGCCATCATGCAGGTAACATTTATGTAGAGAAAAGTAGCAATAATTATATCATTTATAAATAATAGTTATAAGATTCTTACCTCTTCTTCACCCGAGCTATCTGTATAATGCAAAACATTATTCATATTGTCAGACAGAATTTCCTGCTTATAATGTAGTAAATTAAATAATATAATAAAGTTAAAATAAAAAGATTTACGCACAAATTATTACATATATAAATCTTACTTGCTTTTCAGTAACACTTGCATAGAACAATTAAAATATTGCTTTTAAATTGTAATTAAAAAACTTCTTTATCTGAGCTCTCTGCATAATGTACATCATTTACATTGGCAGTCAAAGCTGCCTGCTGATAATGTAGTAATTTAAATAAAATAATTAAGTTAAAATGAAAAGTTTTATTCACATATATAAATGTTTACTGCATTTTGGTTACATTAATATAGAATGAGGCACAAAAAATATATTATTACTCATAAATTGTTATTTAAGAAAAGCTTACTTCTTTGTCCCAACTATCTAAAAGATCTAAAGCATTATTTCTACTGTCATTAAAACCTGCCTGCTTACTAATGCAGTAATTTAAATGAAATGATAAAGTTAAAATAAAGAGACTTATACATACACTATTACATTCGAAAATTTATTATATTTTTACTTTACTATTTAAAACATAATAAATATAATAAATACATAATTTATTAAGTATAGTAATGTAAGAAAATAATAAATAAAAAAGTGTGTGCATAGTAAAATTCATTTTTACGTTAGATAAAAAAAAATAATAAAAATGATTATAATATATAATAATGTATTGTTTATAAACATTGCTTTTATATGTTTACATTTAATTGTAAAGTAAAATCTTAATTATTAACCTTTCTTTCTAATATTTTTAAAACATTACTGTTGTTTTCCTTATCCACTTTGTTGTTCTTGAAATATCATTATAAGTTGCATACCAAAGATAATGCTTATATCTTTTATGGTTAATTTGTACACAATTTGCCATTTTAATTAGACAGCTTATGAAATATCTTTAAAAATATTAAATGCCTATAAAAACTGACAATATTACAAATGATATAAATGAACAACATAATTTATATCACCAATCAAAACTGTCTGGTTATAATGTAGTAATTAAAATAAAATAATAAAGTAAAAGTATAAAGATTTATACATTAATCAACCAACTTAAAATGAATGTATAAAATTATATTTGGTCAAGTTATAAATGATTGAAACAAGTTACGTCGGTATTATTTCTAAAACCCATGGTGCAATATGAGTTATGAAAAAAACCATGATTTTACCCATGGTAATCCCATGGGATTTCGATTTCTACGGGAAAACCATGGTTCACCGATGGGATTTCCATGGATTTCCCATGGAATTCCATGGAAAATTTCCGTAAGGGTTCTAGCTATTATATAAAGTATATTACTTAATTTTGAAAATGTTTTTTTTTTTAGGTGTATCGACATTTGATTGATGGTGATGTTTTGCTATTAAACAGACAACCAACTCTTCATAGGCCTAGTATCATGGCCCATAAAGTTAGTTTTTTTTATATATTAGTTATTATTTTTTAAGTTAGTTTATATTATATTCAATATTTCAGGGTTTATACCCTTATAGTATATTAGCTTAATATTATAGTTTTATACTTATTTAGAGATCAGTATAATTATTCAGGTTTATAAATAGTTTTAGAGAAAAATCCTCTAATATTTTTAATTATTTTTTTAGTTTTAATTTTGAATTTTTTAAATTTTGATTTAAAATTTATTTTCTTTATCATTTTTGCATTTGTTTCTTTTCTTAAAAGTTATATCCATGAAAAGTTTAGACTTTGATTGGTTCAGACTTTCTAAGTAATTTGATTGCAACCATTTTATTAAATAAGAATTAGAAGTTAGAAGTTTTGTTGTCAACCTTGTATGTTACTTGTTTATTTCCTGAATTTTCTTTGCAAATGTTATTTTTTCATTTTGACAGGCAAAGGTTCTTACCAATGAGAGAACACTCCGAATGCATTATGCAAATTGTAAATCTTATAATGCAGATTTTGATGGTGATGAGATGAATGCCCACTTTCCTCAAAATGAGCTTGGAAGGTCAGAGGCATACAATTTAGGTATTATATGGGAGTTATATTTTTTGCATTTATTAAGTATATGAGCTGGATTTATATATTTATAAAATATTTTATACATGTATGTATAAAATTATTTGTCATTAAATTTAATATTGTGAAGAAAAAGATAAGGTTTTCTTTTAGTTAGTACCCACTATAATTATCTAAGTCCAAAGGATGGTAAACCTTTAGCTGGATTAATTCAAGACCATATAGTATCAGGTGTTTGGATGACATCAAGAGATAAATTCTTTAAGCGGTATTTCATAAAAATTAATTTAACTATCTTTTATTAATAATTTTTAATTTCTCTTTGCTTAAATTCTTTGAAGTACAAGTTGTTCTTATAGTCTATATCTAATTTTTTTTTAACACAGAGATGAATACCAGCAATTGATTTTCAATGCACTGATTGACAGTCCAAATAAAATCAAAACTCTTCCTCCATGTATTATAAAACCAGTTCCATTGTGGTCAGGAAAACAGGTTGATATTGCTTCAATTTCTGTTATTTATGCTTGACTATTTTAGGGAAAAAAGTATAAATAATAAATTCATTTATTAATGTTGATGTTCGTAATGTAAATTAATTGCTTTAAAAAATGTTTGCTCTTCAAATTAAATTAAAAAGTAATATACTAAAATGAAAACTCTTTTTTATTATATAAAATATTTCAAAACAAGCAACTTAATCAATATTTTGATTTCATCTTTTGCGTTAAACATTTAAATAAAAAAATAGTCATAAAGATGCATTATATAGTCACATGTTTTTTTTTTTAAATGTATCTTCAATATGGCTTT